CTTCCAAGAAGCTGTCTGTTTAGGAGCTCTGTCTGTAAATTATGTGAGATATTCGTCATAACAATGACATAAGGTAACTAGCCAGACACACAGGAGAGTTCTAACAGTCGGCCGCATCAGCGTACTACTTTTGACCATATCATCATACTCAACACAGTTACAGAAGTCCATAAAAGTTAGAATCCGTGAGTATAGCATTTTTTGCTGCTCCATTCTAGCTTGTATGCTGGACCTGTGTATCACTCAGGGCCTTATGTTGATCGCAACGTCGGTGAATATTATCAGAAAAAACTAAATGTGTTATCCTTTTTATATCTCTGTACAGCGCTTGCTAACTTGAGAGTTTGGATATCAATTTATTGAGGACTGAGTGAACTGAGGTGACTTCGTATAATGTATCCTTCAACCCAGAGGTGCGACATGTCCTGACAATTTTTCGCTGTTTTCTGTTGACTATAATGTGGGTAACACATCGACTCAAAATGTTAACCATTCGAGTTCACACACACCATATGCGGATTCTACCACAAATGCTACAAACTCCACATCTAGAGAGATTTTAAGGACTTACATGTGCTTCGCTTCATTTGTATCTTGAACGTGAAATCAAATTCATAACTCATACCCTACACAGAGATTTAAAAGGTAGAGGTTTTGCCTGGTAAACCAGAAAGCGTAAGATTAATACATCCTGTAAATTAGTCCACTTGAGCTAACTCAGTACCTGCTGCGGGCAAAACTGACTTTTCCTTAAGAGCATTCGGAGATTTCCATTAGCTTTAAAAGGTGATCTCGAAACTCCAAAGCACTCTATTTGGCTCCAGATAACAATTTTGTTTGGCCTGACGGCTTAATCTCTTGTCGCGAATAGGTGATTGTAAGCACACCGCTTTCATTCGGAGTTAAATGCCCCCCGGGCCATTTTCCATCAAGTATGGGGCAAGAAGTGCTTGGATATGCAGTCTAATGTAAAATCTCTGGACACTAAAATCATCGACGATCGATACACCAGATGGATGTGTGGAGTACTTTGTATCAACCCAAAATGCTGGATTTAGACTGCTTTCAGAAGAGTGTTTCTTTACTATACATAACACCCGTTATTTAGGATTCGTGCCCGATATCAGAAGGTGACAGCTCTATTTGGAGGAGACGGAGGCCTTAATGAGCACATCTAACTCAGCCACTGTTACAGGTTTCCCAAGGCATGGAAAATTAGTACAACTGGGAACCTATGAGCCACCTCGAATTACTGAACGTCAGTGGACAGCGTGAAATTTGCCCTAGGCCTGAAAAAAACTTTCCTCCTAGTGAAGCTATATACACGCCCGAATTATTATTACAATACAATCCTAAACCTTTCAACAGCGGGCAGCTGACGATGCAAAAAATTTAGTCCGTTTCAAATCTGTCCAAAACGTTGTCTTCTACAAGTACTGACAAGTGGACATCATCTGTCCACACTGATGCACTACCAGTTCGGTACCTCCACTAAAATGAATGCGGGAGGCTAGAACACAGGACCTGTAATAGCGTGTTTATTTGTGAGCCATGGTTGAGGAAATCTAGACGGGGCTGAATAGAAGAACCTGTGTGCGAGAATAACATTTATCAAATCAACTACACACGGTCCCTTTTCCGTGTTTATTTTATCTTCCGTGTACTTTTGGGCTTTCCAGTAAACTACTGGTCGTTAAAGATTTATATATTGTTTGGTCCGATAGGTAATAATGATAATACAAAGCCCGCAAAACAGCAGTTCCTTATAGGAAGCAAGGCATTTCAGTAGTGGTCCGGTTACGTGCAGAAATGCATTAATTTCTCTTCAATTTGAAGAAAAATTTTGTACAAACACATTGAGAATTGCATGATTTAGCTGAATGCTACTTTTATAAGTTCAATCAACCAAATCTTAATGAGCTTCGGGCCAGATTCCGTCAACTAAACATCGAGTGTGCCTCGCTCGACTGATTAGTGTCAAACCGTGGCTACATACTCGCAGTTCGCCCAGGATGCCGGAAACTCACAGCAGTATCAAGAATAAGATGATGCAATCCTTTCTTCAGATAGAATAGCTCATCTGGGTAACTGCAAAATTATCCCGGATAGGCAAAACATGTAGGTAAGGTGTGTTTGTAACAGCCATGTCCACTGTCTGATTAGAGCCGCACATTTATGTCATCCGGGTGCTGAATGAAAATAGCTGGGATAAGGTATTTGGGTAGGATTCACTGTCGCAACAAGCATTGAATTTTGTGGTTACCCGTTTGGATTAAATAAACATAGTCAGGCAGAAGTTAATGGGAGAAAGGGATGGCTATCGGAAAGTACCGATCGGTCATATGTTCAGCAAACAAAACCATTTATTATGCTGGTCCGACAATGTAAGATAAAATGGATTAGAAAATGGGAAATATTAGACAAATACAAAGGTGTACATATGTAATCGGGGTTTGGAAAACACCTGCTTATCACTAATAGTACTACTTGCGCGAAGTTTGTGCAACAACTCCAGCAAATTGGAATGTATCCACAATTATTGGGTCGTACGCTGGTGAGAGAAAGGTATGAACGTGTTTGCCATTTTCCGATGAAGTGCTGAACTAAATGACTGAAATGAATCAACACCTTCAGGGTCATGCGCGATTTGTTCTGTGTTAAATGACAGACAGCTCGTAGTTTCATCCAAATTTCTTGTTGGAATGGAGACCCGATCTTCCGGAAAATAATGACGTTTTTATCCAAAAGTTGTTTACCTTTCTTACTCTATTTTTTGGCGAGAAGGTGGTTGGCACACATTGTGAAAACTCGAGGTGACCGTCTTACTTGTCAAATGAATAGGATATTTTCACCACAAACCTCAAGAAAATAATAACCAGAATGCGAATCGAACCTCATTACAAAACATATTGAAGGCAGCTATGAAGCAGTTGATGACCAGGTAGTCCAAAGCCTCTGGCGACCACACAAGTATATTTAAGTAAGTTGATCATAAATCCACTAGAGAGGTTACCAGTTCGTTGAATATGATAAGTGCTTATATTTCGGCAGGATGGATAAATCTTCATAATGTCGGTGATAGTATGACTTTCCCAAAACGAAAACTTGTCTAGTAGCCTGTAGCGTCTGTTCACACGAGATTATCAAACAATTTGTAACCAGAGAAGCAAAAATTCGGTCACTGGGTAGCTATAGGGGACTTAGTGGCTGATAGCATACAGTGGATGTTTTAAGGGACATCAGTTTGGCCAAGAAAGGCTTATTACGATAGGTGAACTGAGAGGAGGTAGGCTCACTTACAAATGTTCATTTACTAAGTCCGCTGATTCCGAATGCTGTCTTTTAAAACGTCTTCCCCTGGGCAAGAAAACCGAAGCAACTCTACTTTTTTACTATCGAGGTTGTGCTACCGGTGACCCCAGATATACACATGTTACTGGGGTACGCGATGAAACACCTTGAGCTTATCGATGATTGACTTTGAAGCCCAGTTTCAAAAGTCATACACTTGGCTCTGAAGTAATTTGTCTCTTGGTGTACGAATAGAACCAGAGTATGACAATGTGTGGTTTTGGGTTTTTGTAATCAATCTTAAAATCGGAATCTTTTATGGGTCACAGTGAGTTGTATGATGAAAATCAGAGCGAAGAATCGGTTCCGATTACTTTAACCGACAAAAACCTTACCGATTTTATTCGACAGACGCGACACTCTAGGCTTTACAGATGTGTGCAGTACGCATTTGTACATCATCCGATTTATCCACCCGTTTGAAACTGGTTTAGCCCAACACGATTGCTTGTTAGATTTCACCTTACAGGTTCGGATGATGAAAGTCGAAATCGGTTCGGAGCATGAACTATTTTCCATATCGATACGGCTAGCTGTTTAGATAGATGCCAAAAATAAACATTTTTTGGATCAAATGTTGGCTGTTGAATTTTTGTACCCCTATACCAACTAAAACATCGCTCAACGGCTAAGTATTTTGATCGAACAGTCTAGTTATTCGCTGAGGTTTAAAGAGGATTGGTGAATATGGAGATACAGGCGTCAAGTCACGTGACAATAATAATAATTGTTCAGCTCTACCACCCTTTTGGGGCCTGGCTGCCATGTCATCTATGAACCAGGATGGCTGTAGTACTGACAGATTGCCCAGAGGAAGTTGACAAACAGAGGTCGGGTTCGAACTGCGGACATTCCGGTCAGTAAATCCGCTCTCTAAACACTGACCCGTCTAGCCCCCGTCACATGGCAGAGACTGTATAACTGAAAAACGCAAGACGCTGCATTTTGTTCCGATGGAAATTTATCACAAAGGTGATCAGCTGAGCAAAATAGAGGTCAGCTTCTACCTAGACTTTTGAGAGCTCGAATCGATCTAGAATTAGGGAGGCAACGCACTGCGCAATAATGATAGGGAAGGGTGAGACATGGCCTGAGTGGAATACAGTCCTATAAAAAGTGTCACTTAATCCTGCTTAACACAAGATCCCTGTTGTTCCATCACTTACGAAATTTTTTTAATTTCCCGACTTTCTCGAAACTGAAGCAATCGAATGATTATACTGTACAGTCGTGATCACGGTGTAGCTATGTAGACACAGTTTAACCGATGCGTTTGGTGCGGAGATCCGTTTTTTAATCTTATCTGTTTTGAGAGCGTGCTGTTGACCTTGAAAATTGAAAACTTATAATTCAGGAAGGAAAGCACCTGGTATTTTTAGATTTTCCAACTAATAAAGGAATGAGGCGGCACGTCTGTTTGGGTGTGGTGATATTACTATGTTATAAACGACTATCACAGTGCAAATAAACAAATATGTACACTAAAGTTAACACTGGCTAACTCACAAAGCAAAGTAACCCAACAAGACTCCTAAAGACCACTTTTACAAAATGCAGTTATGTGACATGGCATACTAACAAAATTTTTGGCCAAATGTTAATAATACCATGCATCAGTACAATAAAATAGGCAGTTCTCTCCAAGTTACTTGGAAGTGGGCATCCTTATCAAGCTCAACAGTATGCAGTTGCTTTTGGTCCAGAGTATCGGTAAAAAAAGCCGTCAATTTCTTTTATACAGTGGATAAAAATATGTTCTTATGAAGGTAGGCTGACCATCTTTAACATGTGAAAACTACATGGTTCTAGTATGGATCCAATGTGTTGGTGGACTGTTCGTCTAAGTTAGAGGGTGATGGAAGAGTCGGTGACAGAGAGACAACCGGCCAACTTGAGCGCTCTTCCCTTGCTCTCTGGCGTGGATTTTGATATTCGCCTGAGAAATCAGTTGCAGAATTTATATCATTTGTTGAAGTCCAACCTGAATAGCCTCCGTGTCCATCATCTGGCACCTGGAAACCTCCTGGTCTAGAAATGGCCAATCTTCGCGTCGCTGGATTTGTTGCCATTGGCGCCATTTGAGTCCCATATAATTGGTACCATGCGTCAAAATTTAAGGTCGTTACTGGCGGGTGAAAGTGGGAGATATTTGCATAATTAGGTTCATTTTCAGATTCATCTTCTCCATGTGTCGGCGGTGGTACAGGCTGAAAAATCCCTGGACGCTGTGATAGCATCGTCACTTCGTCAGATTCCTGCCTAGTGTCAATGTAGTCCTCAGGGTTCGGAGGTGGTACCGGGTAGAATGATCTTCGTGATGTGTCGAGCGGAGTATCGTTTTCAGTGATGGGTGTGAGGCGTTGTGTATGCATAGGCTCATGATGGAAACCTAACCAAGGAGAATGGTTTATATTGTTGTTCCTATTATTTATGAAGTTAGCTCTTTCAGGATCCGAATGTTGACGTTTTGGATGATACTTTCTGTATGGTATAAGGGGAGCAGATGATTCCCCGTGGGTTGAATAATCAAAACTTGGTTGCTGATCCCCAAACACACAAGAACAACGAGTGGGACTGGAATTTGTACCGTAAGTCATTGAGGAGCATGCAGGCTGTACTACTGCATGGTGAGGTCCATGGACCGGTTGATCTGTTCGATGTATGTACTGATCCGCCGGAGAGTTGTAACGGTGTGAGCCGTAATGCGCTTGATATCGAGTAGGACGGTCTATATTTACCGGAAAATGGCCATAAGAATACGAGCGTGGTCGAATTTTTATTCTTTCGTCCGCAATCCCTGGAGTGACTGCATCATAAAAACCTAAAAAACAGAACAGGTCTACTTAAATGCATTCAAAGCACAACAGCTGAATGTAAAAAACAAATACACACAGAAATTTGATAATAAAAGACAGAGAACGGATAACATCGAAAAATTACGGTTCAGGTTTTCCTCCAAAGAATGATCGACCGTGATACAAATTATATCAAATTATTTTTTGTAACAAAAGTATTGTTCGAAGGTTTTTCGTGCAGCATAAAATAGAACCAGCCAAGAAACTTTCTCCGTGTTTAGTGGTCCAGTGGCTGACAGCCTCCATACAATTTTTGGATTCCCTTCAGTATACCGTGTAAAGAAAAGTCTCTGACTAGGCCAAAGTATCGAACTGTTTGCAGCAGTAACTGAATGACCTCTTTGTAGTGGGTATAACCATATTTTTGTGATAAATTTGAAATGCAATCACATCACTTTGGTTACCCTGTTCGAGGACTAATCTAAGTCACTGCGGGTGCCACACGGACAAAATAGTTTATGAATTACGGATTTTCTGAACTGATTAGAGTTACCTGTACAGAATATTATCGTTATTGTGTCATTGTGCTACCGATCTTACCAACACATGAACACATTTTGTTGCGTTACAAGCCTGCTTTCTTATATATTGTGATACTACAACCCTGTATATTCACAGTAGAATGCACAATATTCTATAGGATACTTGGATAACATTCAGTGTCTAATGATTTGTGTAAACCTAAGGGCAGAGACAACGTACTACTTTGATTATTTTCCAGTGTCATTGTGTAAGATGGCCTAAAAGTGGCCTTAGTCTTCTTCAGGTTGTCCAGTTAAGCTTACACTAAAGAAACCCTTACCATTAGGGCAACTGTCAGTGTTGTACTAGCGACTTGACAGGGGAAAAGTTTTCAGAGGTTTGTAGCTTTTCAAGGTGAAAGAAATATTCGCCTTTAGAAGTGGTCAACTTTTCTCATTGCAGAATATGTTGGGCACGGAATAGGACCAAATAGGTAAACAAGCAGAATGTTGTGTGCATTGGTAAGTTAGTGAATGGATCATTAGATACATAAGTAAACAAATAAGTAGAAAATATACCCAAAATTTTCGGAATTTTAAGGAAATTTCTGAGCTTTATTTGCACTGTTATTTCTCGTGAATAGATTATTGAACACGCTTCAAATAACCGAAACATCCTCAGATTATATTGGTATTACTCTTAGGGGCGAAAGGCAAACGGGATACTGTGAAATATCATGCCACCGGAGTATTCATACATAGGTAATCTTGTGTTTTTGGGAAAATGTTTGCAGACGAATTCGGTAGATATATCAATAAAGTCACATCTTCTATTTTCATCATCGATATCAACATACTAAGTAAGATGACAGGTTACCTTCTTCGCTCTGAGAGGCATCTTCCAGGTATTCACTCAGCGGCATTGTGCTCAAAACTAGTGTTTTTCTGGAGTCGAGCTGATAATCTTTATCAGGTCTTGAACCTCCTGGCTCATGCATATTCTCACTGGTCCCTTGTGAAATATCAGTAAGTCTGCGATGTTGAACAAAATATGATCGTTTACGCTTCTGTTCATCGCTCACTTCAAGCGCCGACTGCGGTCGCATGAAGTGGCCTGAGTCCTCTTCTGTATCAACGCTCGTGATTGAGTGGCTTGGACGACTTGCAAAATACGTTTCTTCCATTTTGAGGTACGGAACTTGCACTAACGATCTTGATCCATTGCAAACCGGATTGAAGATATTAATGTCTTCTTTAGACTGTCGTGTACCAGTGCTTTGGCTGCTGGCGCTTACCGCAGAGCTCCGATGTGTGCCCTCTTTTCGTTGCGAAAAATGAAACTTGAAGGGAAACAAAAAAGTTTGACCAGATGAAATTTGGGTGGAAAGATCACACTGAAACGAGTAGTAAGAACGTAGAGGAATTTCAGCAACAGTGTGTTATGGTTGGATAGACAGTCTGCACCTGTGTGTCCCCCCAAACGTTCGTGCGCAGCGGCTCAAGTGAGTACTCAATAACTGTCACGGTTCTGTCAGTCGTATGACCTTTTCAGGACTCTGGTAGCGTCGTGGACAGTTGTAACCTCTTTGACATCTTTTTACATTCACCTAGTTGCTGGATTGGTGGGAGTTATCTTCACATCATTCATGCCATCCTAGCTCAATCATGCTGGATAGTCCATACCTTATTTTAAGTATCTGACACCTGCTTATAAATGATAATAATAATGTCCAGCAGGTTTCATGCCCCTGGGCACTACCTGGCTGGAATGTCATGATCAGTGGATGATAAAACAAGGGCTCTTACCAACCGTCTTCCATCCACCGATTCCACCTGTCACAATACTTAGGCACAAACAAGTTTGTCTGTTCAAGGTAGTGATGTATTCAGTGTGTTTTGGAAGAGATTTGGTGACACGGTTGTCTTGCGTGCAAAACGTTCGGGGTTCAAACGCCTGCCACACCTAGGGATTCTAACAAACGATCAGCTCTGAAAGTGACTAAATTCTGGCCTAGTGCTTCCATTTCGTTTCGTAGAATAATCAGAAGTACATACAGGAATAGCAGGAATGGGTGATGTTAATAGAAGTTCTTTAGGCCCCTTAAATACTGTCCGATAAGATAACAGACTGAAAATCCACTGGTGGCTGTTTATCTCCTAGGCATTAACAGTCTTTCTAGATCTGTGGTCACCGTAAAATTCAGTAGAAATCCGGAGATTAATAGCCACCGATACCACACTGGCCAGCGTAAGCTGTTTGGGCTTTTCCAGGGAATTCGGTAGGGTAAAACCCCACATCGTACAGAAAAAGTGGTCTCTAGGGTTTCAGGGCTTGGAAATGCTGCCTGTGAATAACTATCCATGCCATCCAGCAATAAAAGGGTACTAGCGGAGTAAGTTGACAGTGAGTTCGGTCACTCCTTTTCAGTTGCTCATCTGTTGATAAACATCTGTAACCAAATAAGCTCGCATGAACGACCGCGCGTAATGTACTCGCCGCGAACCTTTAAAATTTCGTTCTCTACAACAGCCCGTTAATTCCAGCTCCATTCAGTGAGATTACAGGGACTGAACACCAAAACAACTTGCGTCCTTTAAACAACCACTTGAAAACTAAGAAAAAGCGATCGCCCATCTCAGTTTTATCGACGTTGGAAACATAACTTCGAAATTTTTCCCCTGACTGCTTGTTTGGTGGTTTCATTTTAGATACACAATTTGGAGATCATCTGTAAACTCAACGGACCATCTAACGTCCCTTCCTGCTATGTTAACCAATGAAGCACTTCAGCGAATTCCCAGTTTTGTGATGTTTTCACCAGGATAGTGACATGACATTAGGACCACCAGCAAAACCTCATCAACAGTGCCGCCGGCTGAGTTCGACCTTTGCCCGAGAAGTGGCTGTGGGTTGAATTTATCTCGACTTTCCTTGGGCCCACCCTAAGGTAAGTCAATATGAAACGCTAAGGTTCCCACATATTTTAATGGCATTTGGATGAGCGGCTTGACGTGGTGTCATAATTAGTAGCTGTTCTTATTGTATTTTACCTGACAAGGGTGTGTAGTATGTCAATGTTCCCTCCAACGGTGTAATGAATATGCCGGCGGTGTTTGGAGTAGTGGGAATGAATGATGCTAAAATTTGCCGCTAGGTCTGCCATGGCAACTGCATGCCTTACAAGCACCCTAAGTTGTGTCATTGGGTGACATCCTAACAGGTCAGTGAATCAGTCCGGTAAATAATCTGCATAAAATTGGTTAGACTTCTAGCCCAGTATGTTTGTCACTGTGCTGGGTGACCCCATACCTATCCATCTATTATGGTTTGGCAGTCATGTCGAGCACGATTTGTCAATCATGTGTGCTGCTAACGCATTGTCCAGCGTTTCGCAAGGATTTCGAAAGTGTTATGCAACGGTATGAGATCACTAGAGCATGTGAAAGCATGTGAAGACTGCGGTGGTTAGCTTCCAAACGTTCACGTGGAAATGGATACACTTCTTTCTCCATCACCCCAAACGTGCGACACAACGTTGGATAGGAGAGTTCTTGGTTTGTATCGTAGCGTCTGTTTGGAGTGCTAGCTTTTTGCTGTACGGTAAAGGGGACCTTGATACCCCAGATGAACTCTAGGTGAATACTGGCTGCCAATTTCATGTCCCAACCCCGTACACTGGACATTAAATCAGATATTTAAACTATTTCTTTCAAGAAAACAAATATAGCGTCCTTGGTCTGAAAGTTAGTAAAAGCCCTAGCAAATTGGATCTCTGGTTTTTATAGATTCATTGCAGCTTTGTTGGATTACATTGGAATATTTGCCAGCTGTTGCTCAAAAGCTACACTATTTTACAACACTGATCACCTGACGTGCGGACTTGTTAAAAATTCCCAAAATAATGAGAATCTTCATTGAGTGGAAAAAATTATAAACAAAATGCGCGCACACTAATGAACTTACGATACTTTGTTTTCGTTGACGGTCACCATTAGTGTCTGTGTTGTTGAGCTCTGAGCTGTCAACAGAACAGGCAGTGCGGGTTGATTGTATAGGATGAGCATCCATTCTGAACAACTTTGTAACTCAGATGAAAGAAGGTCATTCTAACGGAGAGCTTCAAAGGTGATTTAGGTCAGAAAAAGACATGTGTTGACAGAGAAATGCTATTGGATAGGGGAGTTTCTATGTTGGATTTTTCCAGTGCAGTTCAAATCTCAAGGCTCGAACCGAAAAATACGAACACTTCTGTCTGAAGGTTCTCGCGGCTCACTACTACTATGACGGCCAGCTGCGTTTCAGCATTCAGGATGATGAATAATGATATGGAACGGACAGAAAAATTGTTTTGCGAACTTGATTATATTCTGTGTGAATAGTTGAACAACAGTTTGCGTGTAAAGTTAGTCCATTTCGCGCATTGCTGTTTTACTCTAGGTCTGATGGAAATAGATGAGTCCGAAAACGGCTGTTAGTAAAAACTACAAAACACTAAAATTTGTTTGTTTTGAAACAGTCATAACATTTTTCAAAATCTCTACTCTGTGTTTGGTAAACATTTGTTGACATAGATCGATTGCCAACATTTGGCGGTTTCTGACGCATGAATGTCGCATACGGTGCACTTTTAAGGTACTACACATTATCATCTTTGGTATACAACGAATATCAGTACTGTCAGTAATCCTTTCCTATTAAAATGCATTCGGTTTTCCAAACCAGGCTGCACAGTTCATCAATACTCCATAGACTTAATGATTGTGTAAGTGATATGAACTGGTTCGATGGTTTTCAACTTTATCCCACGGAAAACCTCCGGGTTAAGTTAACTGTTGAGCTCTACTTAATGTTTTACAGTGTGGAAAGTCTGTTTCTGAATGTGGTCCAAGACTATTCTCTATAATGTAAACGACAGTCTGGGGGAAATTACACCACAAAACCCTTTACATCTTTACGATGCCTAGGTCCTAGATTCATGTTTATGCAAAAATGTTCTCAACAACACTACGTCGTTCCTTTGAAGCTTGGCCGAATATCAAAACAATAGCATCCCACGGTTTTTCAGGCTGATTAAGACTAGTTAGGTTGTTCTATAGGAATCGCACCACAAAATAATAAAAATCATTGTGTTACATGGATTCACTCGCAAAACGGTCAGTTAGATGACAAAACTGCCAGCAGCAAGGTTGGCAGACTAACCTATTAGTTATGCATTTATCGGGTCCTTCAAAATTCACGTTAGGTATAATCAGATTGATATTCCACACGGAGTATTTTATTGGTGAAATGAGCTTTCCCTTGGGAACGGTTAGGATGCAAAGACCTCAAAAATCTGTAATGCAATTTTGATGACGTCCGCCGCCGGCAATACGTTTGAAATACCTGATAATTATTCGACTCTTTGTGTAGTAGCCGCTTAATTTACTCTGACGCACAAACGACAATAATTCGGTCTACTTGGTTTGAGAGCTGTCGGATACTTTGGAAATTTATCTTCAGGGTGAACGAGAAACCTCCACATAAACCGATCACCTTCAACTAGTGATTAAAGAACAGAAGGGCTATCACAAACCGTATAGTCAAAAGAAATCTGCTGAGCCACCTTTCCAGAAGAGAATGGATGTCATAGCATGAGCTAACGGAAGCCAGTGAAATATAGCAGCGCAGTGGGTCTTTTCCTCGAATAACGATTGGCTACCGTTTGGAGAAAAATAAAAACAGTGATAAGCCTGCCATATCATCCAACAAATTCGTCTCAAAGGCGACGTTGCAGACGTTTAACCAGTCTACTAGATAACAGCAAAACAAAAACCAGAATATCGGAACGCACATAAATTTGATGGTAATCCATATTCACTAATCCAAACAACAGTTTCAGTGCACGAAGCTCTCTGTGTCTGATGCGCTGGAACACGCATGCATTCGTCTATCACTCATAGGATGGTTCCTTTAAGTTGGTTCGTGGTTTAATCCATATCCTTCCCTTCCAACTAAGCTTGCGTTTTCTCTTTTCACATTTGCCCAGCGTTGAAAAATTCTAGTCGTTTTATTGCCGTTGTTTAGAGTGAAGAGGAGACATTCCCAAAAAAGGTGATTCTTCTCTCACATATTTCTAAATTCGTAATTTTAATAGATATGCCTGCAGTTCACGAAAAACGCCGCTTCACCTAGTGGGCTGAGCGCCAGTAATGAGGAGTTATTCATTACTGTGATTAAGCACATTGAAATTACTTCCAGATATGGAGCTTAGAATGTGTCTGTTGAAAGTTTGAACACAAATATTCAACCTTATTTTAAGCTTGGGGCGTAAGAGGAGTTATTCATTACTGTGATTAAGCACATTGAAATTACTTCCAGATATGGAGCTTAGAATGTGTCTGTTGAAAGTTTGAACACAAATATTCAACCGTATTTTAAGCTCTGGGGCGTAAATGGGCGGTATTTTGCTCGTGAGCTGTTATGATTTCTCGCGATTTCTTCTGCACAGTAAAAAGTAGCTAATCCCATTTAAAACAACGCCGAATATTTGGATTAATTTTCATCTTCAATCAGTTCTGCTGGACTTTCCAAAATCTCTACTGCTATTACATACAAGGACGTTTATATCCAGTCGGTACTGTTGGTTGGATTAAGCTGTCTGAGTTTATCGTATGGTTTTATTCGACGTTAGTCTTATTTGGTGTAACCAATGTAGTTCTTTGAATTATCCGTTTGCTATGTTTATTTTGGTTCACACGTGGGCATCTTTGACCATCTGCTGAAATTTCATCCCAGTTGGAATAATTTTGGACGGATACTGTTCATATTTCTTTATGTGATCTGATTTTTGGGGTTGTTCCAATTGAAGCGTTTATCTTCACAGATGGAATATACACATTGCTACAACGTTTTGTGAAATATGGCGACAAAATGTAACAAGTAACTACCTTGTTTGATCGTCTTCACCATCAGAACTGTGCCCAGATCGAGTTGTCTTTTTCTTAACCGCTCCGAAAAATCGAGCAAGAATACTGGCAGATTTCTGAAACAAAACGTATGCCGTTTCTGTAAAAAATCTCTGCCAGATAAGATTAAAAATCCTTGATCATATTATTTTAGTAGGCAAAATAAAGGGAATTCCGAAATTGGTGGTGTCAGGAAGCTGTAAGAAAGGAAACGCCATAAATTTAATTCCTTTTCCAAATTCCTGATGTACGGAAACAACATCACAGATTGCCGCGATTGATAGAGGACAGAGCTATAATTAAATCCTCTAGAATGATTTACGGACTCAAAACACAAACTCATCCGTAGTAGTAGATCTTACTATTTTGGAAGTAGGATGTGTTCACCATGTAAGATAGAAAGACTAGCCCACAGTTAAATATGACAGAATCACAACTTAAACTCTGATTGGCAAAAATTCAAACTTTTGGAATTAAATATTAATTATAATCATTGAAATCATGTAGTAATCTCATACTTACAAAATATATCCTATGTGCGATATGAGGATCACCGTAATTGTACTCGTGGATAGTATTTATAATCTAAAGTGCTGAGTGTCTTCTCCGTGGATGATTCTCTCTGTTTGCTGAGTCGCCAAAAGTAGCGGTAGAAGGCAGCTAACTCCAGCAAAACGTTCTTTGGGGGAGGGCCGGGTGATGCAAAAGTTGGTTACTGAGTACAGTTGGGAATTTGCCAAAACCGAGTAAAAGTTAATCGCAGTTGAAGAAGTGGTTCGAAGCGATTTGTCATTATCAGTTATAACAAGAGCTATGTCTTCCAGCTTTCACCTTCTGGGATACGGCATACATTTTCGATATAACTGGGAAGGGCTTGGCAGTCCTTACTAAAAATATAGAGTACTGACCACAGCGCGACTTTCGATGTTCTTTTTGGTGCGATTTTACAATAACAGCTTCGATTCGACTGAGTGCATTGGGGTCCATATCTGCACTCCGACGACGAACGCGAAGCATTTTGAAAAGCACAGTGATGAGTCTACGGCTGAATGCTCTAGGTTTTGGCTCACAGTGCAGAAAAAATCGTGCATGTCCCGCATAGGTTAAACACACGTTTGTGTGCATTCCTCAGGGTTGAATTTTTGTCCCAAAGTGTTTTGGCCTCAATTACTCAGGGTCTAATCAGTCTAAAAAAGAATGGTTAGCATTTCGTTTGTGATAAACTGAGCCACCTTCAGAAAACGGTCGTATTTTTCGAAATGTTGAAAAATCAGTGGAAGTATCGAATTATTAAGCCCATTGTGAAAACCGACAACATATTTTGTGTCATTCGTTCGGGGATTCTCAGAGGTTTCAAGGTTTAGCCACTAGTAGTAACGGAACACTAGTTTCCAAATAGCTGGTTCTCGTCCCGCATTCTCACTCGCTTTAGTGGGGCAGAATTCAAGTCAAAATGTACTAAACAGGTCCAGCTAGATTAACCAAATTATCCTCTATTGGTTGACTAGCACACTCTTCACTGACCTTACTGATAACCTGTCTCATACTGGACATAATTCAAATTGCTAGTTGCTCTCGTAGGTTAGCTTTGATTGGTGAGGTCGTCAGCTGGGACGTAAGGCTTTTCCAAACTCATGAGAAAGTGGAACTTGTGTTACCGTTTGCATCTATGTGCATCTATATGTGCCAGTCCCTATCATGCACCAAAATGAAATTTTAAGGCGAAAAGTTGTTCTTGCTTTGTAGAGGCAGGCAAAGCGCTGCCTGTTCTCAGAATTCAATGCTACTTGTCCTAAGCACTCTGGCAGAAAACTGAAGTCAGTCGCATAACCTTGGCTCCTTGACTTAGCCGTGTACGCGTTTTCATAGGTGTCTACCAGTTCTGCTTTATAACACTTAAGAAATTCCAGTCACTGAAGTTTGGTAAACACAAATTAACAAAAAAACACTGTCAAGTGTTCTCGTAAGCCGGTTGATTAGGTCCGAAAAACTCAAAATTTCTGGTGGTGGAAAACAAAAGGTCAAATAGCAGGGCTCAAGCAGTTTGTCGCAGCAAGTCCTTTTTGAAAAGAATAGTCGAGGCAAATGGAGACTGTTGGTGGCGAATGCAACCATTTTTTATGCTAAAAGTCCGCATTCGTGTGACTCCACATAGTGAACTCATGGGTTTTTCTGGAACAGGATCCCACTATTCACATTCTGTAGGAGCATGCATTGTAAAGCATTAAAGGGATGGGGTAAGTTGTCTTTGAGAGACTTTGGGTCGAAGTTTAAAGTCACAATATGCGTTATCTGAAAAAAGTCACCTTAGTTGCTGCAAGCAACCAGGCTGCCCATCGTCGCCAAATGATTCGTTTAACTAGCGAATGATAAACTAAGGATTTATATTAACTTTCTGAGATTGGGTGAGTGGAGATTCTCAACCCATCCAAGGTAAATGAGAAGAAAGAATAGACGTCAGAGAACAAAAAATGCTCACAAGGCTGCTGCAAATTCTTCGGCAGTCCACGACAAGTTACGCCCTCCCTAAGGCTTGTCAAATAGGTGCAGTTCTCGAGTTTCCGTCAATTTTATTTTCTACTGGGCCCCAGATTGCACGAAATTTGACAAATGGATTCATTCTCTCAACAATTTGAGGAATATGAACGAGTGATTCAACTGGTTTCCAGGTGAGTCTTGAGTGTAAACCGAACTAGTATGCAAATGGGTGTATTTGTCGAATAGACATCCGCATTCACTGAAGCTAAATGGACGGCTGCCATTCACATAACTCCCCAACATGAGTTACGGTATTGCACACCATCGCGCTGCTTCGCTGTTAAACAAGGTTTACCACACATCCTTATGTTTTAGCAACCATATATATAGCTCCACCATCAACCCTCTAAATCAACCTTCTGCTGTAAGAAAAGTTGCTGTTTCCGGCTGATGGTTCCATATTGTGATCAAGAGCTCATTTACTTTGCCGGTTTTCAACAGGTCTGTTGGAGTTACCCATATGGCATGATTTATTTTATTCAACCGGTCACGACATATCTTGATTTGGACCGTCACACTGCTCAGTTTATTCGCATATTCTTTGAGACATAAACTGGATATGTTCTAACGTTCAAGAATTGCGGATATATCTTGTTTTTTTCGGAACCACCATGCGCTTCATACCCCATTTATCGCTTGTTATCAAGGAAGCCACCGAGTACCAGCTAAGGTACATTTGTTACGTGTGCCAGCTATCCATTCAAGGTGTATAGCAAATTCTGAATAGGGCATAGGTTCTATAAGGCATGTGCACATATGCTGAATACCGGGCAATATAGCTCTTCTTTGGGATTAGTAATGGAGACATTTGTACGGTTTCAAGCAGAATGGTTTGGTTTGAGGAATTTATGACTTTATTCGACATATATTTCACAGTGAATAACATAAAAACACCTTCCACGATAACAGTTACTTTGACAGTTACATATCCTCCTTAAAGGAATCGGATCAGTAGAGGATTATCTAGCCCATAATGGCGCGTTCACTTAGGTTTACAGAATTCCTTTGTTACATCGGAAACTTCTGTTAGTCTGCATAAATGCCTTTGACAAACTGCACTAAATGTTGATAAGCATCGGCAATTAAGTCAGTATTTTCTACTTTGCTCCTCAGTTCATACAATGCGACTCTGTATTCAGTTCAAAGTCCTGGCTTTCCATAACAGTATACGATACCGGTTGATCAAATTTGTTTAATATGAGAAAGTCCGTACTGTGATCGTGTACTCCACAGCTTAACCGTAAACGGTTACTTGCGTGGAGCTCCTAAATATATAAAGTGTCACACATGACATCGGAATACTCTATTCTGTACACATGGTGCAGCCCCATACGTGATAAACAGCTGATAGGTTTGTTGCGGTAGATGAAGTGAAACATAGAAGGCATGTTGGAGCGACTGATTCACTGTCATGGTGGTTTTAACTTCCTGATGAAATATACGCTGGACTTTCAGCTGTCGAGGACTGAAGGACTGTCACTATCCGGATTTCCCTTTCATAATTCAACGTTACATGGACGGTATATCCTGCCCATATTCTTCTGTTCAACAGGAATATTTGTCCCAATTGACTCAAATATAGCAAAGGAAGTGTATTCTATGGAGGTCTTGAAGTGGAAACTTCGTGCTATGTCAACCGTAATACAGTACAAGAAATGCCAGCAAAAATTAAGTTCAGTCACAGAAAGCTAAAGAAAAACTGTTAAACGAAACGCCGGTAGTAAAAGGACTATTTTTATTGCACTGAGTTTGATCAACGAGCAAATTATGGAATAATGCAGCTGATTAAACTTCACTCTCGAGGGATAACAGAAAAACAATTATTTAGTTACTCTGGCCAAAGTATGAATGATTGAGAAAACTAATTTAGACAAGCTAAAATCCACCACTACCTCCTACTTCTACCACTTATAGTCCGATTGGGCCAGTTGGAACTACTGAGAAACGTGCATCTGCTGAGATTTGTGGACTTATTCGAAGTAGGCTTACAATGACAGACACTTGACCTCATTCTGTTGCGTGTTCATGTTCACATACAATGTTCTTATCTTCATAAATCATTTGTGCGGATTTTAAACCGCTATTCGCGTTACGTTCAGAATTGCCTGAAAGATCTTTGTTCTTAACTTGAACGTGTACACGAAGGCCTTTCAGTGGCTCCGTGTGCCGATGTTTGAAATGAACATGCAGATCCCAGATTTCCTTACAGCTAGCATCCGTTTAGCCACGCCTAGGGGATTTCCATTTGGCTTCTGAATTCACTGCTTTCTAGTTAAAAAGCATCATGTAGACGTTTCATCTTACGTCAATGCAAATTTTGCATCCAAATATGTCGCTGAAAGCCGCCAAAGACCAGAAAAATTTATAGTCACCAGCTCATGGACATAGAATTATGGTATCCCATTGAATTTGTCCACATTTTTTACAACACAATTGTAGATCTCGGTGGCACAGAAAAGTCGTATCAGCCGCCAAAGTACATCAGTGAAGTGGTTCAATTTTGTTAATATTGAAACGAAATTCAAGTGCATATAGAAATGAACACTTGGCTTTCGGTGGGTAAGCCGCATCTCCTCAGCACTGTGGATAAATCGCAAGGGGTCAGCAGGTAGCTTTACCCTATCTTTAATCACGGATGCGTTTACGCGTTGACTGACTACCTTAGCGAATACGTGTCAGTGACTACTGCACGTGAACAATTGACAAAAATTCTTAGGCTCACTGAATGTCAGCCGGTGATTGCCAAACGGTTTGGATTTCAGACAGCAACCCTGTGGTAGAGGACTCAAACATTTATGAGATACTGCTGCTGATTTCCAATAAAGATGAAACCATTGTACAGGTCTCTCGGGCTTCGCACTATAGATTGGCTCCAGTTACATAAGGAAACCTTGACTGAAATTCCAGATGTAACATTTGTCCAAGATGCAAAACTAGCATTAGGTCACACAATTAATATGTATGTAAGAAGAACTGTGGTGATAACTCCGGCGTTACGCAACTAATCAACAAAGAACCTTTGTACACAGCTGTATTGCACTTCAATACACATATAATGAAACCTTGCTGGTCGTCGAGAAGAACAAATCAAACACTCAAGCTGAATGTCCTACGAAAAC